CAATCCACAGCAAGAGACGAGACAAAGCAAGGAAATATCAACCTCAGCACACGCGCGGCCAACAGACAGAAAAGTCGAAGACTCAGCACACGTGACATCGAACGGCGATCACCCTCCAAAGCGAAATACCACCAATAACCTGGAAAAGTGTCGCTCCACCCGCTAAGACGAAACCCGAGCCCGGTTCGGAGAAAAATACATAGCCGCAACGGCTCTATCAAGAAAGGGAAAACGCCATATATAGCTGAGTTCTCCCGGTACTAAATCAGTTCGCTTCTTAACTCGAGCAAAAGACAGTTCTACAAGTTCCTCACCGTAAACTCATCGCCCCTCGAAATACCCAACCAACACCTACATTTACCGCAGCCAAAACAGTATGGACACTACATTAATTCTGTTCACCATGCTCACGACGACCCAGGCACTAGTCAAGTTACATGACTATACGAACGCCGACTACATCCCCATAGTGGATGGAGATGCTGTCATCTGGGATAGCTACGGATACCTACGCCACACGACAAACGTAACCTCTTACGAAGAATACGTGGTGCAAACAGAACAGGCCGCCGAACTATTCGCCGTTAATCGAATGACGGAAGTAATTACCACCGACTTAGGCCACATCCGTAACCTAATCTCTACGCTAAAAATCCACCATCGAGACAGGCGGAGCATCAACATCCTAGGGACGGCCCTTAAAGTTATCGCCGGCACCCCCGATTTCAACGACTGGGAGCAGGTTCGCTTTAAACAAGGCCAACTAGTGGAAGCAGAGGCAAACCAGATGGAGATCAACACCAAGATCCAGGACCGCCTAAACGAGCTGACTCATTACATGAACACGATAAACAAATCCGACGACGCCGAGAGAAACCAACTGGTGGAGATAATTCTGGCTAAAAACAGAATTATTATCACCGATCTGGAAAACCTCATCCTCGGCCTAACTCTGGCACGGATCCAGATAATCAGTCCAGCCCTACTAGACGGCGCCGACATCCAAGAGTTCGAGGCACAGCATCTGACCAACCTCAGCTTGGTAGAACTTTTGGGAGTATCAAAAGTGAGCGTCTTTCAAAGCAGCGACCTGCTCACGTTCCTGATAAAGTTCCCCCAACCCAAACGAACATGCCGAAAAATGCTCATATTCCCAGTACAACACCAACGGAAAATACTGGATTTCGGCGAGGGAAACATTGTAGCCGAATGTGGAACAGAAGCCGTCAATGTTGGCAACTGCGAGGCTACCGTCGGCGCGACATTTTGCCAACAACATCAAGGGACCACCTGCGCCCAGCAGATGGTAGCAGGGTCGGTTGCCCACTGCGCAACGCTGCCCGGACATCTCGAAGCGATCAGCCACGTAGATCATGGCACTATCATAGTGAACGACGCACACGTGACCATTTTGGAGGAGACTGGCGCTACACAGAACATCTCTGGGACCTATCTGGTGACATATTCCAACCGGATCGCGCTCAATGGGACCTGGTATGTAAATCACCTAGGAGACTCGAGACGAAAAGCCGTGGTGTCCGTGATGACCCAGGTAAATGTGACGTCCCATCAAGAACGGCTGAGTCTACCCTTCTTGAGGGAACTCAGCCTGAGAAACCTTAAGCACATCGGCCACCTACACGAAGTGCTGACGATCAGAAGTGTGACCACATATATTCTCACGGCCAGCATCGCATTTCCACTCTGCGTAATCATTTGGGTCCTACATCGCCGGCTAAGAACCCAGAACACGACGCCTACAGACCCCGAGGCCCCAGCTCGCGAAACCGACTCCAGCCAGGTACCCATCACCGACGTTCGACTGGACAAGTCCCACGAACCTCGAAGACAACCAGACGCGGCCACCCGAGTCGGGCCAGTCCCACGTCCACCGGGCCAGGGAACACGGATCACTCCCGTGCTCAACCAATAGACGCGTCAACCAAAAAATGCTGACCATGACTTCTGCCCGCCGCTCAAGACATAAGACCGAGGTAACGACGGTAGGCGAAACGGTAGTGCCCATCAGTACAACCGTGCGCCCCGAGCAAGAAGTAATTATACAAAAAAAAAAAACCCCACAAGCAAGGAACGATGAACAAGAACAACAACCACGACGACATTATCGTCATCTCCTCGGACGAAGAATCAGAAGACTCCACCACCAGCACCGAGGAAGACGAAGAGGAACCACGATACCCCAGATTCCGGCGAGAGAATCTGTGGTCTCCCCCACCGGGAGCTCCAACTAGCAACCGCTTCCCACGGCCGACCACGCCGTCGTACTCGCCAAGGGCGTACGACGACGAGGATTGGCCAGGAACCCGGCCAACCTCCACGGCACCACCCGGGCGAAGCAGCCCCCCGCTGTTTACGCGCAGGCCAGCAGGCCACCGGCCACAGGAATACTGCTCCGATAAACAGCCCACTCCGGAACCGAAGCCACTAGAAACAGACGAGCCGTACGCACGACGCGTCTTTCCGGAGTTCGAGCAGTACGTCTACACGGACACGCCCTGGGGACTCCGAGTCACCAGGGTGCACCTGACGGCAGTGGATGTACTCGTCCCCCCAGGACAGAGTACAAGGAAGTACCGCGGGAAGTACCGGAAACAATTCGGGACAGAAGCGGAGGAGGAAGGTGAAAGTCCCGGCCCCAGCCGGAAAAGGGCCGCTACAACTAAACGCGGCGCCCTACAACACCACCCACCCGGAAGAAAGGGGGAGGGTAACGAACCATGGATCCCATGGTTCGTCACAAACAGATGAAGCAGCCAACGCTACTCCCAGGTGAAGCGATCAACACCCAGCAAAAATGCAACCTCAGCACACGGCAAAAGACAGGAGACCAGCAGAAGGGGTTTACGCAATAAGAACCTAAAATAATATTAAATAAATAAATATTCCAATATTTTTATACCCGACAAAATGGGTTTGGTAATGTGTGTAACGCGGACCCTAAAGTAATATACCGCTCATCCGAGTCGTATAGCCGTCCTTCCCCCCGCCGTCCGTCCTCCGTCCGTCCTCCCTCCGTCTCCGCGATGAGCGCCTGGATCCACAGCTAGCGAAACCAAATTTGGTTCCGCATGTGTACCCTCAAGTGTCAAAACGCCCCCCCCCCCCCCAAGGCAATCTGTGGCAGGCACAGTTAAAGGTACGCTAAAAACCGTGTAGAAATCCATCTCCAGTTCGAATCTGATCAGATCGGATCATAATTGCCAGATAAGAAATTATTTCAGTTGCTTCCCCCCCTCCCCGAAAAGACAACCACTCCCGCTCCACTCTGCCGCGTCAGGAAAGGAGTGTAGAATTAATTGGAACCTAAATCTACATGTTAGATGTAGATATCATAGTAAAAATGTAATGTCTAAAAAAAATAGTGTTCGTCCGAGCGCTCTCGTTCAATATATATTCCCGAAGCGTCAACGAAATTCCTTTCCCACGGTACTGGTGCACACCGATCACCTTACCTGGGACATTGGGAGGCGAGTGCTTAGGTAACCATCGATTATTGGATATTGGACACTGACTGCAGGGAATGATTTGGTAACCATCTGGTACCGATCAGTCCGTCTGCACGCGCAGGCTATACTTCGGCCAGAGAGATTTACGTAAGAACCCTTCCCACGGTCTGGAGTAGAAATAAGATATCTATAAGACATTCATGGAAGGCCGGCCGATCTATAAAAAAGGCAGCCCACCAGCCATCGGGGGAGGCAGTCAATCAGCCATCGCGAGAGGCAGTCAACATCACCATCCGCGTCGTAGTACAAGTAAAACCTAACATAACCGGGTAGAATAATCATACGGAAGAATAAAGAAAACTATTAAAATTAAAAGAACCAAAAAGTGTTGTGATTTCTATTTCAGTTTTCTGGCAAAGTTCCTGGTTTCCGATAAAGTCCTCGTGAATTATAAATATCTTGTAATTCAGGACCCTGAACAGGCTGATGCATACCTCAGCCTGAAATAGGACATTACAATAGGAAAAGAAATAACAACAAAACATATGCGAATTGTCTCAGGCACTCGGAAGTGAGATAGTTTGCGGAATATCTTCTAGGAATTCGTTTATAAATGCTCTGTAAAACTCATGCAGGATATTGCACACGTTTTTGGCTGATACGTCGAAAAGTCTTCCGACTATTCGGTACTAAGAAAAAGAGCCCAAAGTATACAATGCTATGGCGATACAAAACATTCCTTAAAAAACGCTACGTTGTTTTCGAGTACATCTTTCTCCCAAAATGTCCCGAACCGCTTCTAAAAAACAGCATATATATTTGTATCTAAAACTTTGATTGGATTTAGTAGAAGCAGTCACAAACGACCAGAACCTTTCTGACCTTAGTGTTTTTAACACAGATACCTATTCTAATATCTCCTATTAGTCCATGTTTGCCTCATCATCATCAACGATGTCCAGAAACATGATTAGCTTGTACAAGAAAATATTTTGAATTACATTTACAACCATTGTTAAATTATGAATATTAATATTAATTTTAGAAGTAAACAAATTTTCGCCCGCACCAAATTGTGTGCATCAGCTGTTTTTCATATATGTTGAATGGTGCCAGTGTGAATCGAAGTTTCACATATGTCAAAAATTCCCATCATCCTTCCATAGATGTTATCAACGTTTTCTATCATGGTAGCCCCATTTTGTCGACTTCTAGATGGATTGTCTTAGCAGGTGATACGACCAGGCCTCAATATTTCACGGTTGTAATGATAAAGAGTTTATATAATTTACAGATTAAGCCGTTTTCTTACCAAGGCCCGAATTTTTTCAGGCAGCCCTCGGGAATTCCAAGGCGTCGAATTAATCTTTACTTCATTATTTTTACCTTAAGCATCTGAAGATATATTATCTTAGATTTTCTTGAGTAGCATATATATGAATGATGTATTTTCTACATCAACACGATCGTTTTCCAATTTAACATACACAGCACTATTAATTACTAATAATAAAATTTTTGTATCTCTTACAGAAAACTCCTACCAGGCCTACACAGAAACAAACTACTCAATATCAGTTTAGATGTTCGTTAACTAAATTTATTCAAAAACAAATGCCTACTTTTAGATATACAAAAATGTTCGAAATTTTAATGCATACAATCAGTAAAAAAAAATTGACTCAGATATTATTGAACTAGTTGCGAATGATAGCTTTATAAGAAAGGTTTATTATACATCAAAGTTCAATTAACTGGGTCGGAATAATTACCAGAAACATTATATTTTTTGTATGATAATAAAATGTATGTATGTAGTGCAATGTATATAAAAACTTTTTATTTTCAAAATTATTTTTTACCATATTAAATAAAAAAAAAATTGCAGACTATTTTGTTTCCGTAAGCTCCTTAATTATTATCTTCAAGGCTAGGAATATTGTACGAGAGTCCACAAAGCCTATGAATTTGAGGCATTTTAACGACGCATAAAATAACTTCTCCAGGGTCAGGAAAATGGTTAAGCGAGAGAGTATGCTTCCGTGACTAGCGTTCTTACTTTCAAGCTCCAATATACTGAGCAGTAATATCCCTCCTCGTCAAAAAAGCGGAACAAACCGACTAGCGTGGTCTCGTGCTGGAGGAGGTGGGGGAAGCAACAGAAAATTAATTTCTTTATTCTGGCTAAAATAATGATCCGATCTGATTCAGATTCGGCAATCTGGTAGATATCGTCATTCTCTACGATACTGCGTTTTAAGTTTTATTGTAAAATGTAACATTTTTTTTTTTTAATTCTAAAATTCTAAAAAATTATAAGCTTAAAAACTTATATACTGACTGAGTACGGGTATAAGTAGAGTTGCGTCCCCAGAATCGACTCACACGATCCTTCTCGTTTGAACAAGTATTGCCTTGATTATTTGTCAGTGTGTGTTTCGGCTCGAAAAAAAGAACGAACGAACGAGAAGGAACGTGTTAGTCGCTTCTGGGGACGCGACTCTACTTGTATACCCGTACTCAGTCAGTATATACATTTTTGAGCTTATGATTTATGTAGAATTTTACAAAACTTTACATTTTACATTTTTTTACTACATCTTGTATCTACAATGTATATTCTACATCTAACATGTATATTATACATTTACCATTTCGATATTACAGCTTCACCGCCAGCGGGGGCTCGCGTACATAACGAGGCACAGTGTGCGAGCGAGAAAGAGAATGAGTAGCGGTCACTTGCTGGAGGAGGTGGGTGAAGCAACTGAAAATTAATTTCTTCATTCTGGTTATAATTATGATCCGAGCTGATACAGATTCGGCAATGATGACTCTCTACGATACTGCGTTTTCAGTTTTATCGTATCTGTTTAGGGAAGCAGCGCTGTTAATTCCATTAACATCGCTCCGTTAGCTCGCGCGCTCTCCCTTGCCCATCGCTCTCGCGCTGCGTGAATGCGATCCACGGCTCTCCATCACGGGCGCTAGCCGTAGGCCGAGCTGTGCTTATACGAGAGAGAGGCAGTGTCTTTTTCCACCCCGACAAAGCCAAAACGCTCCTCGTACCTAGAGATCCGAAAATATACCAACGATATACTTAAAGCACCACATCTTCCGACTTTTATTGGGAATCCTTGTCTTGGGGAACCGAAGCCGACCCGACCACATCCACCCTCCTACAAACATTGGTCCTTCGAGCCGGATTTTCACCTTCCCCATAAGGAGGAGTCCAACCTGCAAGCATCGGTGGATTACATCGCTACGTTCCGAAGATAAGTACGATTTCGTCTTCCCAAATCGCTTCCGAGTGCGTTTTTGGTTTATTCCCCACCAAGTCCGAGTTCCGCGATATATGTATATATATGCTTATATACATATCTGTTCATACAGTGCTATCCAGTGTCCGTTTTACATTCCTTTTCGCCAACGCCATATTATCGGCGTTTCCGGCCGTTCTCCGTTCCTTCACCTCCAACTACCAGTGTTACGGAAGTAAATTAATTCCGCTTTATCTGGGCTCACGCTTGTGAATTTAAATATAATAAAAAAATATATTCACCCAAATCCAGCCGCCAAAAAAATATTGCACATTAAAATAATATAATTATTGTATTAAGCCTAGTACTCAGATCGAAAAAAAAAACACCTCGCGAACAGAATCAGGGCTGATATTCGTATGAAACCGATACGAAATTTTTTACGGCAAAAACTGTTTTCTAGGCTCTGTACGGAAGGAAGTACTCAGATCAACAAAAAAAAGGTTGGTATATACTGGAAAAGTAGTATTTGCTTGTTTTTTTGGTATGATTAGACTCACCCCGAAAATTATATCAATTTGATATATTTTGCCAGCAAAGACGAAGCAAACATTGCAATAAGAGTACAAAAAACCAAATGAAATATTTTAATAATGAAGAAAAATAGAATCTAATTAATGCAGTATTATATGAATGAGAATTATATGGATATTATAATATATTCTTTTTATTAATTTTCATAAATATAAAACACATTGTTTTCAAAACAGTTTGTCTTCAAACTTGCCAATAAAAAATTGGGGAGCCCAGGATATGCCTGCCAGGATATGCCTGCCGAAGAGCGGCCCCAGCCGAAGAAGTCCATTTTAAACTTTAAACAAAACCAAGCAGCGGTCTGAGCAGTGTAACCGTTCGGAATGCAGTGTACACCTCTGGTCACAACACTGGCCGTTCGAAGAATATATGACATTTGTTTGCCGGCAAACAGTTTTTGGATCAGAGTACTAGGCTTTAAAACAAAATCCATATATACAAACATATACATACCACTCCATATCTACATACCACTCTCGACATCTACCTTCCGCTGTCCACACATACATTCCGCTAATTAAGGGCATATATTTAATATTAACTTCTGCGACTTCGAGCAATTTACGCATTCAAGCCGTACCTTTCGGGCGCCACAATAAAGAATAATATCTCCAAGCCCGTGATAAATTATCTTCAACCCAGTAACGCCGTACTAACAATATTTTTTTAAATATTTCCAGAGCCAGTGTGACCGTTCCTCTCCTCAGTGGGCATCAATTTAATTCAATCATTGTTTTGGGAACCTCGATCAAGAGCGACCCCAAATCATCAGAGTTGGTAATAAAAATTGTTTTCCAGCAACGCGCGAGGCCCTTTTCTCTTCCATTCACCAGTCGTGGGTTCTTTTTTGTGTGTTTTAAGGGATTTATTGCTGTTGTGAGCTGTCGGGTTTTTCCGACCGCTTGAATAATTTCCAAAAAAGAAAGTCAGAATGCGAAATCGTTTAAACTTAACAAATGTTGGCTTTATTCACGACAAACGAAAAATTCAATCCGTGTGTTTAATGGCGAAGGGTTACTAAACATATAAATACTTTCCAAGCGTCGTCGGACTATATTATTCCGTTCCGTTTGCTCTCACGGCTTGCACTCCCCCGCTCTCAAGAGCAATGCAACTCACTCAGCCCGCTCAACGCTTTGCACTCGGGCTTGATCTACGATCAGTGAGCGAGCGTTTGATGGTAAGAGCGTGCGTGCATTCGATGTAAGAGCGCCAGCTAGCGCAAAGAGCTTGTTGCCAGCGGCTGCTCCGAACAATTGCCTTCGTGTGTGGTGCCCAGCCAAACCTAAGTTTGTTTCGTTCGCCAATCCGCGGATCCCGCATCCGACTTCACCTTCAAATCCTGCGTGTGTGAGTGCGTAGTATGCCATCGGGTGACAAGGACAGCAAAGGGTTCTTGACTGTGACCTCTCCACGTCGGCTACGCACCTCTTCCGCCTCAGGAACTACTCCAACTCATAAGATCAAGTCGCCAGTCACTCCCAGAGCAGCTAGTAGCAGCCCTGCTGCGAGGACCAAGTCGGTTCTCTTCCCGTCTCCCGTCACTCTCAAGGTGACAGCTCGGATTCAAGACGATCCAACCAGCTCTTTCGTTTTCAGTTCCGTCAGCTCGCGACCCTCTATCACAATGGATCATTCCGCCACCACTACTGCACGGGCAAAACTAGCCGCCACCATTGGCCGTTTGTCTTACTTGGAAGCGCGCATCACTGCCGCTCTTTCCGAGTTTCGCCGAGGACAGATCCTCAGTATGTGTGCGGATGTCGAGGCGAAGTATAAGGCGTGCTCCGCAGTGATGGTTGACGAGGATCCAGGGGTACAAGAAGACTTTCGAGAGAAGTACGGCGAGTGTTATGGCGTATTTGAGCAGTGCCTAGCTGACCTCAATGCTCATCTAGCCCAAACATCAGACATGCAGACGGATGCACCGCAAACCTACCAGGGCGGCTGTCGACTGCTCCCCTGCGACATTGAGGTCTTCGCAGGAGATTACGTCCGCCGGCCTACTTTCTGGGACTTATTTACGGCGATCTATGTAAATAATTCTAGGCTGTCTCCGATAGAGAAGTTATACCATCTAACCGTTAAGACAAGCGGCCATCCTAAGTCCATAGTCGAAAAGTCCCTCTCACCAACGATGGTTTCGACTCGGCATGGTCGGCATTCCGAAACCGTTATGAAAATAATCGGCTCCCGGTGACCAACCAGATAAATATTTTGCTCTTTTTGCCTCGCGTCGAGTCCGAAACCAGGGGGGTCCTCACCGCCCTTGCTCACTCCAAGGTCTGCACCGACAACTGGGATAGCCTCTTCGTTACGATCTCTGCCTCCAAGCTGCCGAAGTTGACCCGGTCCCTGTGGGAGGCGTCCGTCACAGACAAGAAGGAGGTGCCTCCATGGACGGAAATCGACGCCTTCCTCACTCAGCGCTATTTGACGCTAGAAGCCATGGAGAGCGACCCGTGCACGTCCAAAGGCAATCCGAATCTATTACCAAAGGTAATAAGGTACCCAGAATCCGCAACCCTCCGGAAGCAATTCCAATCCGTTCCGGTTTCATGACAGTCCCGTGCCAAGGAAGTTTCACTCCTTCCAGACACGAGTGAGCCCGAAGAGAAGAACGTGCGATCTCTGTTCCAAAGAGACTCACCCGATTCGACTATGTCCGCACTTCTTACAAATGACCGTGGATGCACGTGCCAGCTGCATTAAAAAGAGGCAGCTGTGCTTGAACTGTTTCGCCAGAGGCCACGAATGCTCCACGAATGCCAAAGCGCCCACAGTTGCTTCACTTGTGGATCCCGCCACCACACGCTCCTGTATCGGGGGACTCCAGCTCCCAGCGAGCTGACTTCCACAACAGCGGAGGATCCCGCTTCTTCCGTCGCTCCGCCCAACGTTCAGAATTATTTTGCCTCAGGAACAAGGGCTGTGCTTCTCGGCACTGCAATAATCAACATTTGCCGCCTGGGG